TTGCGCTGACTTGGGCACGTGCTACGTATGCCTGGTCACCACTTACCTAGGACGGCCTTGTTCAGTCTATCAGATGTAGGGTGGTGCAAGGCTCGAGGTGGACAGAAGTTGACTTGGCAGCGGGAAATGAAGTCACTGACGACCTAACTGGGTGCTGTTGGTCCGTCTCGCCTTCCGGGCTGGAGTCCACGTGACTCGCCTTGTGCTTGGCTCGAGACTTTACAGGACATGGCTCGCGACCGACACCAGTGGCGCGTCTGCTGCTGTCTCCTAATCGGATTGTCTGTTTAAAGTGTGTTTGGTGCTGAGTTATCTGCTGGGTAGCAGTTGATTATGATGCGGAGCAGTGAAAGCCGCAAGGAAGCTGTCTTGTCGATGTCGCCTTGTCTCTGCACGATAGCCAGCTGTCTGTGACGGTATGTTGTCTACACAAGGTGTAGGCGCCTTGACCCTGAATGTTTGCTTAGAGCATCAAGGTTTTCAGGTAAGTCCCTCTTCTCTCACACTTTTTATTCCTTATTTCATAAGTCCTCATGGTTGTATGGCAGCGAAGCATCAGTTCAAATAGCTGATGTACTGCTGTTGATGATGAGGATGACAACATTGGTTTCAGCACCGCGTTCGACAAAGTGAAGCACAAGGTCCTCCTCAACAAGCTGGGGATGTGCCGTGTTGTTGGATCGCAGCACATGTGGATCAGTGATTTCTTTATTGTACGGAAATGGAGGGTACAAGTGGATGACCAGCTAACGGATTTGTATCCCTCCACCAATGGTGTATCTCGAGATACAGTACTGGGGCCCACATTGTTTCTGATCCAGATCAACAAAGCACCTCAGATTCTTCGGTCACCCTGTTCATTGTTTGCAGATGACCTGAAAATATGGAGTGTTATTGATTTTCCCGACTACGTGACGTCCTTCAGCATGACTTCGACTTCCAGTCCAGTTGGTCTACGGATGTCGATCTACCGGTCCACGCAATCAAATCGTTATATATGAGCTTGCAGAAGCGTGTTGATGGGCGTACGTCCACGCTGGTCAGTCAGCCGCTACATCACACACCATCCGTGAAGGATCTCGAAGTACTCTCAAGCTGCGATTAGAAGTCCGCAGACAACACGAGCGAGCTGTATGGAAACGGACTGCGTATGCTTTGGGCGCCCAAACGCAGCTTTTACATTTGGCCTGAAGAGATTGCCAAGTGTCTCATTTGTTCCACCATAAGACTGATGCCCCAGTACGGATCACCCGCTTATTGTGCGATCAACCGTGGCGAAATGCAGACTGGAACGTGTTCAACACGTGGCTACCAGGATCATACCCAGTTTACGGGGTATGCCGTAGGAAAACCGATGCAGACGACTAGGGCTGTGCACCGTGTCTTCTCGTCGGTTTAGACTTGATCTCATTATGACGCATCGGATATTGCATCTGGGTCACTTCCCCATGCTGACGCCAATGCAGCACGTGCGCGCACCAAGCAGCACTCGCGGGCACCACTACAAATTACCGGTACCGGACTTAAAGCGGATAGCACACCCACTATGCTTCGAGCGCTGGGTGGTGAAATATTGGAACAGTTTACCTGCGTAAATTGTTGAGGCGAAATCGGTATCGAAATTCAAACAAGTCCTAGACACCCACTTTGCGGATTTCAGATACAGGGAGTGCATGGCACCCGAAGAGTATGCGGTGCAGCTATGACAGCAGCAGACTCTCAAACTTTGGTGACGTGAATCAGCGCACGTGCTCGAACTAATTACGATGGAGCAACACAGATGAACGTCTACTAGCTCTCAGTTTTCAGTATTCAGTATATAACCAGAACGACCTACGGAACGAAAAATATTAAGAGGGAGAGAAGGGAGACAAACCGGAAAACCTTAATGCCCTAAGCAAACATTCAGGGTCGAGGTGCCTAAAGCTTGTCAACAACAACGTCACGAACAGCTGGTTATCATGCAAAGATAAGGTGGCACCAGTGAGACAGCTACGTTGCGGATTTCACTACCCCGTGTCAAAATAACTTATGACCCCGCAGATAACTCAGCATCATTATATTATTATTATTATTCGACACCTGAAAAATATACAATTGGCAGTGCCACAGCACGTAGTTAATAATAATAATAATAATAATAATAATAATAATAATAAAGGGGAAAACAGGTAGACAGTAGGTTTACAAAGTTAATATGTTGTGCGGGTAGAGATATTCCCGGTTGCCCAGGCCAAGGAAGAGGGTTGACTTAAGGGACCCCACCCCGAGCATTTGGTCATAAAGACCTGACCTGCAAGGGATCAAACACTTTAAACAGGTAGACCGACTAGGAGACGGCGGCAGACGCGCCACTGGTGTCGCCTGCGTGTCATGTCCTGTAACATCATGAACCAAACACGAAGCGAGTCACGTGGACCCCACGCCGGAAGGCGAGACGGGCCAAAAAGACAGTTTGGTCTTCAGTGATTTTATTCCCCGTTGCTAAGACAACTTTTCTCCACCTCGAGCCTTGCGCCACCCAACGACTGGCAGACTAAACAAGGCTATCCTCCGTAAGCGGTGACCGGACAAAGGTAGTACGTGTCCAAGCCAACGTAACTTAGTGCAATCTACTGTTCTAAGGAACTAGACTGGTAATCATTGCCTTGCACTCGCCTAAGCGCAATATCGTTGCGGGCACGCTGGGGCCACCTGACACCAGCAATGCACCGCAGAGAGCGATGATCAAAGAGCTGAGAGCGCCGCAGGTCTTCAGATCGAAGGGGTCAAGTTCCACTACCATAGAGTAGGACGGTCATCACTGCGGTCGTTGAACCGCACGTGGCGAAAGAGCAATGTGGATTCCATTCGGGACGTTGCACCATAGATATGATGTTCCCAGCTCTTCAGTCGCAGGAAAAGTGCAGAGAGCGGCACCAAGCATTGTGTTCGATGCTTGTTGACTTCACCAATGTAGTTGATATGGTGAACCGCTAGGTACTTTGGCTGCTGTTGGGTAAGTTTGGTTGTTGGAGTAAGTTTGTGAGTTTAATTGAATGTCTGCAAAGTGGTATGCGAGCGAAGGTGCAGCTGTGTGGACAAACTTCGGATGACTCTGGTGTGAAGCAAGGCTGTATCTTAGGCCCTGCCCTGTATAATATTCAATTTCATGCAATGATGTCGTGCTTTTGATGTTGCTTGTGATTACGGTGTCTGTGTGGAGCACCGTAATGACAGTAGGCCACTGAACATCCGTCTTTTCGGGGCGAGAACCCTAATCTGAGAGACATACATCCGTATGTCGCTTATTGCCGACGACTGTACGTTGTTTGCACACAGTGCGGAGGAGTTGCCGCACATGACTTCGGCTGTCGTTTCGACAGCGGCTAATTCGTACTCAACATCAACCCAGCATTCGCTAGAGATGGAATCCGTGGGCCTGCTGAAAATGCACACTGGCAACGACGTTATGGAATCCACTTCGACATTTCCGACCTTGAGATCGTGATGTCTACCGACATGCAGATGACGAGTGAGCTGCGTACCCGTGTATCAAAGGAGGCTGCGGCATTCGGCAAGCTGGAATAAGGTGTTGGGACGAAGCTGATTGTGTACAAGTCTACGGTGCTGTCCTTTCCTTTATACAGCAGCGAAACCTGGTCGATGTACCGAAAGGATGTCAGATATGTGGAGGGGTTTCATCAACAGTGTCTGGGACGCGTTCTGTACATCGGTTGGTGCGACAGTGTTGCAAACACGGAACTGCTGCGTCGCAGTGGCACGCATGCAGTGGACTGCATACATTTGTTGAGGTACTCGAGGTGGCTCGGCCATGTCCGCCGCAAAGATACGACCCAGATACCGAAACAACTACTTGGTGGCCAAGTGAGTGCAAGAAAGCTGTATGTGGGAGAACCAAGGTATGATCAAAGTGAGTTTATCACGAACTAATATTGGTTTCAGATGTTGGGAAGCGATGACAATGGATCGGTGCCGATAGCGAGAACATATCAAGAGGCGGTTGTGTAGATGGATGAGAAATCACTATTGCATGCGGAAAAGAAACGTCCGTTGAGGATGCTAAAGGTGCCAACGGCAGATAACCCATTGACGTCGAGCGCACTGTGCTGTAGCACATGCAGTTGCGAGTGTCTGAGCCAAGCTGATTTGGTAAGCCACCAGCGTCGCCACATTAGGCCAACATCTAAGAGAAGAGGAGGAAGTTATGTACCCATCATTAGCGCAGCGCTGCTTCTGATTCAATTTACTAACCCAGGTCAATAACGCGGTTGATGTGGTACGTGTGGCGCATCGTTGTTGCAGTTGGCCTGTACGAGTGCGTGTTGAGATTCTTGCATTTCCAGGAGTTGGTTGTTAGTTGAGATCCACGGTGTGGTTGCTGGTTAGTATGAATTTTGAAAAGGTGCTGTCTATTACCCAACATCTCGTCTGTGCTGGCGCAAAGAAACAGCTGGTCGTCATGCTAGGCTCAAATAGTGGTTCCATGCATAAGGCGTATACTTCTGGTACACAAGATTCTCCAATTTGACTGACTGGAGTGCTGCCGTTATGCAAGTTGGAGTGGGGGACGGCTCCGTTGAGGAAACCTAGTACCCATCCACATGCCTCCCGGTTTCAATGCTTCGGGTTTACTTTGGATATGGGGAGTGTGGATGGAGCTGTGGGTGGTGCAGTGCAAGCCATCCATAGTCTCTTTGTAGGCGCAGGCGTCCTGTGGCTGTCCTATGGAGGTCGCATTGACAGACAAATCTAGAACTGGATACCGCAACTCTATATATGTATGTGTGTACATAAGCAAATTGAATGCAGCATAAGTGAGGCAGTCAAGGTGGCATGAAAGTTAGCTACGCGGGTATAGGCTGATCTATATGTGTACGGGAAATGCAAGCATGACATACTGTGATCAACAGGAAAGTAAAGGCGAATCATAAGGTATAACAACGAAAATGACAACAGAAAACAAGGCTAGGCGATTAAAAAAATTAACTATCACGTACGATTTCTTCGCTTCACATCTACATTTGACGTCCCAACGGCATGGGCCTGGTAAAATGGCGGTTGCCTCGCATCATCAGTGAATAATGAAGCCACACACTCGGTTGTACGTGTGATGCGTCCACCAGTGAGAACCGGAGCGTTTACATTTTGCAGGGTGATATGCGGTCTTTTTCGGCTTGTTCCACGTGTCTTATCATTCCAGCTGCGACGACCCGCGACGTCAAACAAGCTGGAAACCGTCCCGTTAGCAGTAGAGCATAGAAAGAATTTTGAATAATCGGTTTCCAATTGATCAACCATTGACTCGTCGTCCAGAGGTTCCAGTGAACCGGAAGTTGATTCTCGGAACCAGGTACCACGTAAAACGCGCATGGGTTTTCCTTCAGCCGGAACAAGCAGAATGGGTAAGGCAAGATAGAGAGGCAATAAGGTAAGGGAAGGATGACGACAAGGCAAACCAAGCACATGAGTAGGGTTCGAGTAAAGAACATAGTAGATCGGAACTGAGATTACAGATTGCAGAAGTGTAATAGTCAGTGAATGTCTCAACAACCTGCGTATCAGAAACTAAGTGTAGAGGACGACAGTCTTCGTCACTCAAGGAGCTTGTAGTAAGCACACAAAAAGCAGTCCTCACCAGCGGGTTTTGAGCAACAACACACAGTATCCTCATCAGAAGAAAACACAATAAGAATGCATGTCCGAGTCTGATGTTCACGATACGGCGCTGCGTGATATGGACTACAACTTTGATGTGGTAGACGCAGCGGAACGAGGATCGCTGGCATCATTGTCGTTCAATAATTCCAAGCTACCGTTGTCAGTGAGTCCGTAAGTTAGTCAGTTAGTTAGACAAGGAAATGCTTTAGGCATCCAAGAAGAGTGAGCATGCAGCTGAAACACACACCTTTTCAGCAAAGCAGCATAGAATGAATGTAAAACAAAAAGTGGATTAATAAATGGCAAGTATAATGCCCTCATAGCGTAAAGCGGATGGGCAATTCTTGAACGACTTTTAGGGTATAGGGAAAACCGTTCTAGATGAGGAATAACTGACAGACAGTAAGCGCGTGTTTGGGCACATAGGGAGTTGTACTTCTGTCTGGCTGACGAGATTGACACATTTCAATACTGTGCTATAAAGGGAGTGACTTGTGTCGATAGGTACCGCTGACATGTCAACAAAAGTCGGCTTTGGAACACCGCTACATCGGGACAATTACTCTAAAGTGCTTACCCATTAGATTGGGAAAACCAGATCAAGAACGGGAGAATATAGACAATGACAAAGCTAAGCATCAAATCATTAGGGAGAAACATTAGCGGACGCGAGGTGTAAAAAGATAATTTCTTGACTTGGTGAATGGTTCACTTATATGATATAAGGTAGATCGCAGTTATGTGAGACACGTAGATGTTTCACTGATTTGGAAGAGTGCAACCCCTTGCCCCTGATATGGAGCTTTGGGAACTGCGTCAGGAGCTATTTTGTGAAGATTCGTCGCAGTTAGACTTAGGCAGACAGCTACCACAGATACAAGAAAGCGGTAGACGGCCATTTCATCCTATTGAGACTCGTCAGAAGCTGTTGATACCGGCCTCACTAAGCTGTGAGAAAAGGACAGTATTGCATTCCGACGCCTTAAGCAACAATTCATGGGATTTCGACCAGTGAGATAGGTAGAAATATCCTGTAATCTGACTGAAAGGACAACGAATGGTCAATCGGTGGCCTAGACGATGTCAACTGCATACTTCACTAGAGTCACCCACTAAGGGACTGATATCGAGTCGACAAAGTGAAAAATACAAGTGGTGAAAGGAACCCGAAAGAACACTGGTGGTTTTTACTAGGGACGAAGAGCATCTGCTTGTAAGTAAAAGTATGCCGAGATTAGAATGAATAATAACACAGTGAAACGGCTTGTGTACAAGGCTTTGGATACGTGGATAGCTACTGCTAACAGGTCGGTCAACACTTGGAGATCAGACAAACCTAGTCTCCTCGGGTTAGCAAGAGCACCATGAGCTTTTGCTATACGGTTGGTGATCTCATCTACAATCCCACGGGTGCTTTTGCTAACCTTCGCCACTTATGGCGCCGACGCGACATCACTCTTGCCCTGAAGGGCAGAGTGTTCAATACAGCGGTACGTTCGACCCTACTGTACGGTTGTGAAACCTGGTCCCTTAGATCAGCAGACATAAAGAGGCTAGTTACGTTCGACCACCGGTGCCTTCGCAATTTAGCTCACATCTAGTGGGAACACCGCGGGAGCAACGAGCGTGTTCGACGCCTTGTTTACGGCGCAGGAGAAAGGAAATGAACCGCTCAGCACCGTTATTTCACGCGCCAGGCTCCGATAGGTCGACCACATGTTACGCATGCCAGCCCACCGACTGCCGCGACGTGCGTAGTTTGCGCGCCGGGGGTGTGGATGGAAGAAGAGGAGAGGTGGTCAAGCGATGACTTGGTCGGGAGAAATGAAGGCCCTCACTTTGAACCTGGTCTCGGTTGGAGCGTCTCGGCTCTCTGGTTGAGGTCCGAAAGACGATGAACACGTTTGGTTGGATACACTTGCTGATATGGCTAAGAGCCGACCTCAGTGGCGTTCGTGATGTGAGTTTCTTTGCGCCATCCCATCCTTCTTAGGCTCCCCCTCCAACCACGATCTCATCATTTAGCATTTTATAATTGTGCATGGTAAATGCTTTCTCTGCTGCATAGTAGCCGGCTGGTAGCTTACCGGAACGATGCCCACCCGTTACCGGTAGCTCAGCTGGCTTGCACTTGTTGCGTTTTATCCCCTCTTTTCTTTTAGGTATTGCCGCACAGTAGCTGGGGTGTTTCTTCCCTCTAGCTAACGTGTATAGTGTGTGTGTGTGTGTGTGTGTGTGTGTGTGTATGAGTCTCCTAGGGTTTCGGCGAGCGGAGAGGAAATGGGGTTAACCCAGTGAAATGATCTAGCCTGTGGCCGTTGTATTATTGCGGACGCCTTGAGAATGAGCGCTGGAATCAAAAAGTTTGGATCATGAATCTTAACGTCTTCCTGCTAGTTATGAGTGCGCTGACGTCAGACTAGCTTATAATACAATCATGACGGTCACATGGAACTCAAACGTCATCTTGCATCGGCCGCAGTGAAGTTGTAAAATAACAGCCTTATTGCTAGAAAAAGTGGTGAACAGAGGCAGGTTACTGTTGACGTCCTCCTTCCTTCTTATCTATTTCCCTCAGTTGCAGACCTCGTATAGTTCCGACAAACTTGCCCGCAATTCACCTCCCTAGAAGGCTCAGCAAGACTGTTACTGTTACTGCGCAGGTCACACTTGAGCTCACCTCACTGACATCACTGTAATGTGTCGACGAAAATTGCGAAGATACCATTTAAGCCCCGTTCAGTGACACTGCAGTATCTACTGTCTTAGGTCACACAATTCAGCTGAGCCCATCGCAGGACGCTGTCGCTACTGAAGAGCAAGTGAAAATGTAACCATGTACAACTCCATCGAAATATAAGCAAAAATGTGATAAAAGTTAGCTGTCGCCTGTGATAGCCGAAGCGTACTTTTGTAGCACACAAAAATGTCCTACAGTTTCACCGGGCTCTCAAATGTAAGATGCTATTGCCACTACACAATTGTGCTCTGAATCGAATAATGGTGAAAATGTAAATTCAACAAAGTTTTGTATTGCTGCACAGAGTTGCTCCCCACGATATGCTCAGGCGGGCTGTGCCAAACATTTACCACTTTTCGTTCGAAGGATAGGGGTAGAGAACTCGCTTTATATCAGGCACCACATGTATGTACCTGTGTCTGCGTGTGCCGCGTAGTCTTCGCAAGTGAAGCAGCGGTCTTAACCTGGGGAAAGCAACGAGATGTAAAATGCGGTGGGTTACGATGTGATCGACTCGCAATCGACGACAGGACAAGGTGTAGAGTTCTAGTTTCGCGCAGCGGTCTTCGCACCGCAACCCTCTTAAATGAGGAATCAACCTGGTAGCGAAGTGTAGGACCCGTTCGGTCTCTTGTGCATCGCCTCGGATGGGTGGACAGTAGGTGGGCAAATCGTACTCTAGTATTAGTATTATGATGAAAGAAAAGAGGGGAGTGGCGATCTTTTCAAGCAGAAATCACGTTTGGACGCCCAAAGCATGCGCACTTCCTTACTATATAGTCTGTTCATGTTGTCAACGGAGTTCGAATCGCAGCGCGAGTTCCCGGTTTCTCAATTGCTCTAATACATTAAACTGGCCAAACGGGATTACCTGCAGAAAATGCAAACCATACTCACGAATGAAAGTCGATTTGAGAGGTCGTGATAGAACCAAAAAAGTTGAAAAGATGATAACCCGCGAGCTGCGAAGTTTGCAAAAAGACGGATTGATCGATGCTAATACCATGACAAAACTACGGCCGCGTGGTTCCAGACTTCCTCGGATGTATGGGTTGCCGAAAGTGCATAAAGAAGGGGTTCCATTACGCTCAATCCTTTCAATGGTTGGAGCACCGCACCAGAAATTGGCAATATGGTTAGCCAAACTAATTAAGCCCATCCGACGTAAGCTGGCGGTGCACAGCTTGAAAGATCCATATGAGTTCGTTGAAATGATTCTGAATCTAAACGTGAGCGGTAAGAGAATGGTATCTTTGGACGTATGTTCTTTATTTACAAATGTCTTGTTGGAAGAGATGCTGAACATCACAGGCAGTTATGCAGGTAGAGTAGGGTTTCTATCACATTGATTAAAGAACCGTATTCGTATGTGTACAAAAGATGTCCAATTGTGTTTCAATGGAAGTCTCCATCGGCAGATTGAGGGTGTAGCGATGGGCAGTCCCCTTGGCCCCATTTTGGCTGACATTTTCGTAGCTCATCTAGAGAACACCAAATTGTGTCACCCCATACAGGAAGCTCACTTGTACGCTCGGTATATTGATGACACCTTTGTGGTGGTTGACGAAGCCCAGGAAACGGAACGCATGCCAAAAACGTTTAATAAATGCCATCCAGAGACCAAGTTCACCATGGAAAGCGAAATATTAAGAAAGTTTCACTACTTGGATGTAGCTTTGGTAAGATAATCAGATGGGTCGCTCCTGAGATCAATTTATCACAAACCGAGCTGGACGGAGCAATACCTAAACTTCGACAGCTACTGCCGCATGAGCTACAAACGCTCCTTCGTTCGTGCATCTTTCGTGAGAACCCGTCATATCTGTTTCAGTGGAAACGATTGAAGAACTACAGGGTATCGCATCCACCCTACGTGAAGATAGGTACCCTAACAAGTTCATTGCAAGGTATGCGGAGAAAACCAGGCCGAACGAAGAGCGACCTGGAGCTTCAAAGAAGAAGGTATTCACTGCATTGCCT